AGTTAACAAAGTTAACATAGTTTTCTAAGGATCTACATTAGGAAGATCATCCTAATGATTTTTAGTGTAACAATAGTGAACTAGCCAATTAAATTCTTTAAAAAATTCATTATAAACTTATAACAAAGTTGATATCCAGATCTTAGAATTCGTTATATCAAGAGTTCATTGTATATCATATATATAGTAATATATACCAAAAGTATACAATAGGAAAAGTTTTAAAAATTTTCCAAGAATTTTATTTTTTACTAGAATAATTAGGATAACTAGAATATAATAAATAAGAACAAGTTAAAATATAAAAAAAGATTTTCACCTATATCAAAACTTATTCTAGTTTTTGTCTTAGTTTACTGAGACAGGTATAATTTGAAAGCATATTATAGGTTAGATAAGATGTTTCAGAACAGACAGATATCAGAGCATTGGAATAGGCTTTTGATAAAATGAAAAATATATGTGATTGATTCTAATATCAATGCAATAATATCTAAAAGTATCGCCATGCTAGCAAAACATTAGATCTGTGATAATGCCTAAAAGTAATTGATATGATAATATCCTAAAATAATAACTATAGTAAAAGAGTTCTAGAGGCGAAAAATAAGGTATAGATTTAGTGACCCTTAAGTAGAATTATATTGAAAAGAGAAATAAAAATTATACTTTTGAAAGCTATTACTGATAAACAAACAAAAGTCTAATAAGGTAGAAAGGCTCAGGAAAATACAAGAAAAAAAAGTATGAAAGCTGTGAAGCCTGAACTAATTCAGCACTTTATACTTCATTTTTAATAATCGAAAAGGTCATAAAAGGTGAAATTGCAGTATAATTTTGACAAATACCAGAATTGCAAATTTGACACTTCATGCCTCTTATCTAGCATTCAAAAAATGACAATTGAGAGAAAATATATGGATTGCAAATTCAGCACTTTGTGCTTCAATCTGGCAATCAAGAAATAGTAATTAAAAAAGAAAATATATAAATTACAAATTTGGTACTTCATATCTCAACCTGGCAATCAAATTGAAATAAGTTCAGCATCCAAGCTAATATAAAAGTGATCTAAAACTAATGAATTAATAAAACCATTTTAGATTTCTGTCAGTAACTTGTCAGTTTCTCACTAGCTTTATGACACTATCATGAAGCTAAGTTGGATCCTCAAATTATGTGCTCTAAAATCAGCCAAAATTATGCTATAATGTCAACTGAAATCAATCATAGATTTACTATAATACTATTTGATGCCTTTTTTTACACTATCTCATTATCTTGAAGGACAACTAAACGGACACAAAGAAAAGCATCTCTCAATACCTTAACAGGTCACCAAATAGACTCAGAAGCAAGTAAACAAATGAATTATTTCTTAACAATAAAAAGGCTATAAAATTACGTAAACAGATAGAAAACTTTTTAACAATAAAAAGGTTAAATTAATAAAGAAAAAAGTAATTATTAGATCATGAAAATCACCATTAAATTAAAGTATTATGAAGATGCCATTATAATATACAGGAAATAATTAAAACAATGATTAGAAATTAAAAATGCCTTTCTAAAACTATTTTGAGTTTTTAGATAAAACTATTTATTTATAATAAATATCTTTGCCTAAACTTCTAATAGGTTTTTCTTAACTCAATTAAGTTTTATTAAGTTTTAGATTTAAAAAAAAATCATTTAAAGGTTTCAAAATAGTTTATCAATTTTTAAGCTACACATTAAAATAGATTTTGAACACTATCATTATTAGAAAGACACCCAAAAAATAAAATATATAGACCATAAAGTTAGCATTAGATTATGACACTAGATTATGACATCAATATTATATTATGTTATTAGACTATAATATTACTACTAGATTATAATATTCTTATTAAACTATAATATTCCTATTAAACTTTAATGTCATTAATAGATTATAGTGTTCTTATCAGACTATAATGTACTAATATAACCTCATTCAAGTTGCTGGTGATTCTTGGATATAATTATATCTAGAATCATCAACAACTACTAAGAACAGATTTTATTATATTAATATTATATAATATTATATTAATAATAATAAATTTGACATATTTAACATAATTTTATATTAATTAACATATTTTTTTTTTTATGTAATTGGTATTTTTATATTATATCTAATTATTTCTTTATAGTAGTAAAATAAAAATAAAAAAATAATATATTTATATATTTTTAATCTATAATTATTAATAAAATTAAAAAGCATTATTAATGTAATTTATAAAAAAAATTATTATATTAATTTAATATAAATTTCTAATTATCTAAATTTTTAATTATTTTAACTATTAATTTTTAATATTAAATATTTAAAAAAAATTTAAATTTTTATTTGAATATTTGTAATTTTATCTGAGCTTTAAAGACAGATTAATAGATAAATTTCAGATAATTGGTAATGATTAGTAATATTTAAAGTATTAAAATTTATTGTAAAGTTAATTTTTATATTCTATTATTTTTATTATATAATTTTAATATTATATTTTATATTAAAAATATTAAAATATAATATTTAACATAATTTGTCTAAATATTTAAATATTTAAAAGGTTATCTAAAGTTTTAAAGTTCTAATTAATAATATGATAACTATATAAAATAATCAGTAAATAATTGATTAGTAAATAATCTATATTCATGATATAAGCATGTTTGATATACTTATATATAAGTAATAAACTATGTGAAATATTATAAAATATAAATTATTTTAACTTATATTAAATAATAAATATTAAAATAAATAAATAATAAATGATAAAGTTATTAAGATATAATTAAAAATTATTTTAAATGACTAATAAAAATTTTTTTTATTAATATTATTATAAAATATGGATTAATTTTAAAAAATAGATTTTAATTAAAAACTTTGATTATTTAAAATTATATATATAACTTTTATATTTTATATTCAATTTTTAAATTCATAATTATAATTATTAAAATGTAATTTTAATAATATAATTTATTATTATTTATTTGATTTAAGTTATATAATAAAGGTTTATATTATTTTTTTTATCTTTGAATATTTTTGCTAAAACTTATTAATAGAATTTTATACAAAAGTATCAATATTAATTAATACATAAAACTTTTATATTTAGTTGAGGTTTCTAATTGTTAAAATATGTTTACACAATTAATTCCATTTGATTTATATTAATTATATTGGAATACCAACATTAATTTCTTGATTTACCATGCAACAAACCTTAAATCTCTCAAATTGTTCACGTGATAATCTAAAAAGGTCTTTTTTGAAGTTTGGACCGTGCACAGATTACGATCATTATCCGAATAAAGTAAGTATGAGATGGTAAATCGTAATAACAATACTTTATGTTATTATACTTTAAAAAATAAAATAAAAAGAACCCATATAAATTATTATAATACAAACAAACTTCAAAAGAATAAAAAAAAAAAAAAAAAATTCAGAAATTAAAAAAGCATTTTTTTGTTGCAATAGTTTCTATTAATAGGATTACGCCATATTTGCGCCTTGACAAAAAAATTTTTTTTCCTTTAAGTCTATTAAAGTCGTCTCACATTAAAGTAGTTGGCCAAGAAAGTATGCAAAAGCAATCCTTTATATATATAAATAGAAAATTTAATTAATTGGACACCAAATCATATTACTAACTTATTCAAAAAAAAAAAAATAAAACTAGTTTCTTTTACTTTGATTGTTACATTCATCTCATAGGGACGAGTAATTAATCAAGATTTCCCCGCGTGTTAATCGTCATATCGGTGAATTGCGGCGCGCATTGACTCGCTTCATTCATACAGATATAATTTTACTCATGCACGTTGTCATTAGTTAAACCGTCGATCACCAATGTAGATCACATGTAATAAATTTGTTTCGGTGCAGCGAGTGTCCAACTACAATTATTTGCGACTATTTCACGCTCCTTCTTTAAACTTTCTCTTCAATGCTTGATTATTGGCGGGTAATCAAATTAACCATTCTTATTCTTTTGTGAATAAATATCGTGATAACCATTTTTATATAAATACAAACTTTTTTTGTTGTTGAGAACGTTAACTTTTAAGGGTATTAAAAGTTGACGAAAACATACACTTTAAAGATTTTTTTTATTATTTATTAATTAAAAATCCTTTGTTAATTATCATAGAACTTGTAAATATTTGTATAATATATATATTCCCACCCCCAATATTTGAGTAGTAATAATGAAGTTACCGGAATTAGATATACCTTTAGCACATCAAATAACGACAATAACAGCCACATCAACGTCAAGATCCGAAAGGATCCAATCTCCGACATCAAATTCTATCAATTTAACCTCCCAAATTAATTTACCTCTACTTCCGACCCCTGAACCTCAACAAAAAGAAACGATCAACAATCCGATATTAAAACATCGTAAAGCAACATCGGTTTCATCATTAAATAGTATAATCTCACTTAATGGCATTTCATTTAATAATAACAATAGTCATGCAAATCAATTTACTTTAATTCATAACGAATTAAATAATTTAAGTAGATTCCTTAAAGAATTACAACCATGGATGCCATTTATCATCTGGGCCATATTCTCTATAATTACGTTATGCATATTTCTAGGCTATCATACGGAAATCTTAACGATATTAGATAAATTTGCTCATTTGGTAAAGTCGATGGGCATCAGTGGAGGCCTGATATTTTATCTAATGATATTTTTAACCACCTTCCCATTGGTGATTGGATATAGTACATTAATTACTTTATCAGGATTTACATTTGGAATCAGTGTTGGATTTTTAATATCATATATGGCAGCTCTTACAGGTGCCATAACAGTGTTTTGTTTAAGTAGAAAATGGTTTAGAAAATCCGTTAGAAGGGCATTACATAAAAACAAATCCATTGGCGCTGTCATTACAGCTGTTGAGAAAAAAGGGTTCAAGGTATGATGTATGAATTTTTTTTTCATTATTAATCTTATAAATATTGCTAATTCCTTTTATAATTTTTCATTGAAAAGTTGTTATTCTTAATAAGGTTAGCACCTTATCCTTATAATGTGTTAAACACTTTATTGTCAGCTACACATTTATCATTAAAAACGTTCATAGGAGCAACCGCCTTATCTTTATTCAAATTAATGATTCATGTTTGGATTGGAAGCAAATTATCTTCGCTTTCTGCTTATTATGCTCTCAAAGAAACCAATGATTTTAGCATTAATAACAATAATAACAATCAGGAAGTTTTGAAAGCAATAATTATGATTATTGGAATAAGTATTGGTATTGGTGTAATAATATATGTTTGGATTAGTGCAAGGAAAGCTATAAATGAAGTTGAACAAGAACAAGGTGTATCATTATCATTAGATGGTGGTGATGATTGTATTGATGACAATAAGAAAGTTGAAGAAGAAATGGAAATGTTAACCAATAATAATAACCTTACCACCATTAGACATAGAAGGGGATCTAGTTTTTGTCAAGTTGATTTTGTTATTGACAATCTTTTTATTTCTAACGAAAAAATGGATGAACATAACGAAGTTGAAAAAGGTGATGAACATAGTAATCATAAGGGCATAAGATCTATTGACGTTATTGAAGAAGAAAATACCGATTAACCTAGATATTCCTTTAAATAATTTTTTATTCCTTTCTTTTTTACAAAGCATCAACACGTTGGCTGGAATTAATAATATTTCCCTTAGTATCCAAATTCCCATGATACAATCCGGAAAAGATCTTGTTAATAAGAAAAAAATAACAAAAGCAGTCAAACCTTCATTTTAAACAACCAAAATTTTATTTCATTGTACCAATAAAACAACGTATATCATTCAGGATCTTCGAAACCCGATGGTGGATTACGTAGGCGCTTTGGCACTAAGTAAACAAAGGTAGAAAAGTCATTAGCAAACAATGATATAACTCAAAAGATTATGTAAAGATGATTGTGATGGTTGAATCATTATCATCAAATTGTCGAAGGAAAAAAAAAAATTTATATGCATAAAAATCTCGGATAATGCATGATCATAAATTTTTTTTCGAAAATAATAAAAAAATTTAGACGATCACAAGGAATCTCTTGTATAACATACTAGGATAAGTAGTTGGAATATGCTCAGGAGGAACGTATCCAAAATATTTTCTACGAATAGGTGGTATAACCACAACTCCAATTGGTCCTATTACATACATCATTATTATTAAGAAAAAAAATTTTTTTTAATTTAAAAGCCAAATTACTTTAAAAGGAAAAGAAATTATAAAAAGCATTTACCAATCAACCCGATACCAATAGCCCATGTGTAAGACGGCTTTTCTACAGCCATGCGACGCTATTTATTAATCATTATCAATTCAAAGAAGATTATCGAAATTATTTAAGGAAGAGCGGTTGAATTCATTATTCTCGAGGACAAGACAATAGTACCAAAAAACTTTCTTACCACAAATTCAAATGGTCTTAAAATATATGAAGCCATGATTTCGAACAAAATAGTCTTTGAACAAACTGACAATGGAAACGGATTTTTTTATATTTCTGAAAATTTGAGGCTTGGCCGATCTACAACGGATCAACCAATCAAATCTGTCCGAGTAACGTGATTTCGATGCTTAACCAATAAAATTAATTAATACATATTGGTATTTATTTTAAAAAAAATTTGACTCCAAAATTTTTTGTTGGATGCTTCTAGAAACCTAGGTAAAAATATAAAGTTTTTTTATTACTAATTTTCATTATAAAAGCTTTCTTTGGAATCATGCAATATTTCAACATGTCATGAACATGTCAAAAAAATTTTTTTCATATTATTAGAATTTCCCACATAATTTTAGCCATCGAATCAACTTTAAAAAAAAAAAATAACTTCAGGTTTATAGATTAGATCCATTTTTATTTTTTTTTTCGAAAGAAAAAAAAATCAATATTTAAAATCGCATATCTTTGATAGAAAACAATGTAAAGATATGGAAATGCAAAACGAAATTCAATACTAAATTAATAAAACAGAGAAACAAATATATATAATTTGATATATTTGTTTTATCAAGAGAAAAAAAATTTTTTTTTCGTAAACAAAAAACAATGTATGATAAGATGGATAATATATTAAAGTTAGAAACTTTAATTATCTTTGCGCAGCTCATTGGACATCTATAGTAGGTTAAATTCAAAAACCCAAATTCTGGTTTTTATATATCAGGGCATACAATTATGAAATTGCGTAAATATACCACCCTTAAACGATATTTAGAAAACATTGATCGAAGTTGTTATTGGATCTTCAACCAACATACAGGAAATGCTTGAATTCCAGTTTAAAATCAAAAAAAATGTATCTTAATGGAGTGAATGAATGAGGCGCTAATACGGGCATGGAGATTGTATCTATATGAATCAAAAGATCGTTTTTGTAATAATATCAAGATATCAGACGATACCGCACGATTATTCGACAATAATTTATATTAAAAAGTGTGAAAAAAAAAAAATAAAATAGATGTGTGAAAATTTTTTTTCATGTTACTACGCATGCACATTTGCATAATGGTTTGTAAATCACGCGACATTATGGTTACACACTTATACAAGAACTCATTAATTTACACTATTTGAATCGAAAAATTAGGGAATTGAAGTTAAAAAAAAAAATCTTTTGATCGGTTAAAAAAGTCTAATATGTTATTGATGGCGTACAATTTGGCTAGTTTTCTAAAGAAATTTTCTAAATAGGGAAAGAATAGCGAAAACAAATTTTTTTTTTTTGGCGGTATTGTCCAAATGAAATAGCAACTCGTGAGCGTTTCTGTTTATCGGACACTGATATGACGATAATATTTTGCTGTATCTGCAATTTGTAATAAAAATGCATTATCATCATTGATTCAATTACAATATTAATTTATATTTCACTTTTTTTTCCTTTCTGTAGCCTTATCCTTTCATGTAAACCTTTTTTGCCATACATAAATAAATCCATAAATTTTCATTAAAATCTGTTGGTGACTGACCGTTTCCCTCCGTCTCCTTTTTTTTCAATCATATTCATTCATTGGATCCCCTTTTTTTTCTTGTTCCTCAACAAACAAATAAACAGGGGTGATCATCACCTTGAGTAGCAAGAATAAAAAAGGTGGAGAAAAACTAGGGAAGAAAACGAGAGGAGGTAAAAAAAAAATTTTTTTCCATTCCTGAATTGTTTGGTGCCTATTTTCTATTGTATTAAAAAAAATATATATATATATATATGGTAATATAAATATAATAAAAAAAAATTTTTTTATTTTTTTCCCAGAAGTTCCGTGTTGCAAAAAAAAAAAAATAAAAAAAAAAAAAAAAAAAAAAAAAAAAAAATAAATAAATAATAAAAAAAATTTTTTTTTTTGCTATAAATAAAGGGGGATCCAACATTTACCCAAACAGAAACACAAAAAAAAAAAAAAAAAATTTTTTGCTCCACTTCGCCTTTTTTTTTTTTATAAAAAAAAAAAAAATCTTATATACTTAGCTTTTTTATACTTTGAAAATAAGAGAAATAAGAGAGATAAATATGGGACTTCCTATGTATGTTTCTCCATCGCTTTCAAAGAGACAGCTTCCACCGAAGCAACCGACGTCACCGCCGTATACACCACAAGTCGAAGACGACTTCGAAGAAGCTTACCAAAACTCTAGAACAAGTGCCTTCGGTAATGGTCGCGATTTTGTTCATCGAAACTCCGCTGCTTCATCGCTACCTATATACAGCGGTGACTATTCAATCTTGGTTTACAAGTTCCTTCGAGTTCCTTTTACTTCTTGACTCATCTTTTGTTCTTTCCATAGATATACCGGAACCTGGATTAGTGGCACACCCAGAAACAAGGAGTCAGAGGTCAAGGTCAACTTCTGTGCCGTATAATATAGTTCAGCAACACATACAAAGACTTCATCAACTTCATCAGATTCACCGTACCAGAGAACCATCATCAAATTTGGCTTCAAGACGTGGGTTACATTCCGCGCACCTTTTAAATCTTAATCGAACACAGCAACAGTTATTGCAGCAACAGGCTGCGCTGAGACAACAAGATAGAAATCTTAATAATGAACTTGCTTTTGCGGCTGCTAGGGAACGATTAGATGAATCTCAAGATGAAATCGATTTCTCCTTTGATGATTTTGTTTCTTCATTAGATAATAATCATCATCATAATAACAATATAAATAATAATAATAATAATAATAACAATAATAATAATAATAATAATAATAATAATAATAATAATAACAATAATAATACGAGAAATAACGATGGTGGTATTCAAAGACATAATAATATCAATGATAATATCAATTCTTCACATCGTAATCACTCTTCAAGTGCTGCGTTAGATAATGTCATAAGAAGGGTTAATTTGTTGAGACAACATCATGAAAGTAGATTTATGAGGCCGTCTTCATCTAGACATTCCTCATCTAGACATCATAGATCATCAACAACAGGACATTCTTCTGGAAGATTTTCAAATTCACGAACTTCTTCACCAACGGTCAATTTAGAACGTAGAGATGAGTTAGTTCAACGTGAAATTGAAATTCCATCCTCATCAACGGTTCGTCTTCCGACATCTCATCTTCCAGAACCAACTTTGTTATATCACAATGAACATAACGCATCGCCATCTCCACCAGTTCCAAGACTTTCAAATTGGCGTCACGTTCGTAGAGCCGTAAATTGGCCAGTGGATTCACAGTCACGTTCACAGTCACAGCCACAACCACAGTCAATTCAGAGATCAGAACGAAGATCTTCGTTCGCTGACGATTTTTATTCAACAACAAACATTCCTCATCTATATGAAGCCGAAGCTCCTGTCGAACATCATCATATATCTCGTATACTATCGCCAATACCCAGGAGGTATGACGCTAGATTTACCGCACCTGGAAACGAGCATGATTTATTAGAAACTAATGTTGATAATAGGTCAAATGTAGATAGAGGTTTAAATGGAAACGATTCAATCGAATCTGTAAGAACAGAGCAAAGAGGCTCAGCATCAGGGGAGGTTTGTTAGTATTGATCACAAAAAAGCTGTCTGGCCGACAGCAATTATGGACAAACATGTGCCAAGAGAATGATTATATTCTTTTCTGCATGATGAAAAATTTTACCAATTACATTTCACAAATTTATAAATACAATTTACACAAATATACATAAACTTTCAGGTTTTTTTGCATTACAAAATAATTCACAATAATCCATCCTTTATTCAATATGAAAGGATATACACATTACACTGTATGTTTAATTATTAGAAACGAAAAAGAAATTTATAAGATCATTAGAGTTTTTTTTTTTCTTAAGTTGGCGGAATTTTGAAGCAATTTGATGTAATTTACATATTTCATAAAAAAAAATTTATACTCATCCCTTCAGGGTTATTCCTTCTTTTTAAGTTTGCTATTTTGTTATTAAAAATAGCTCAACCTTTTTTTCCTTCTCTTTTTTTTGTTTGTAAAAAATTTAAATCAAACAATCAATCAACATAAAAAAAAAAAAAAAAATTGTAAAAATAATAAAAAATCTTGAAAATATTATTAATAAGGAAATCTTTTTTAAAAAAAAGGACAATTTTTATCTTTACGTGCTTTTTTGTTATGATTATATTTATCGTATCGTAGATTTGTAAAAAAATATATATACTGTATATATCGAATTTTTTTTATTGTGAGGTCTTTATTTGTTTACATTTCAAACAGCATTTGTGAAAATTTATAATCGCGCAGTAATTACATATTTTAAATAATTACTGATCGATGATCTAGCTGATTGATTTGGTTCAATGCGCCATTTTATTTATTTATTCAGGGATGTATATCTCCGCCTCCGGCAAAATAAAAAATATAAAAAAAGATTTGCTCGTGAAAATGAAAATATTTTATCGGAGAAGTTAATAAGGAGAGTTTTTTTTTATATGAAGCGTATAATAAAAATTTTATTCATCGGAAACTTCCGAAATTAAATTAAAAAAAATTAAAATCATTAATACTCTTTCCTCTTTTTTTTTTGATTTTTTGAGATGGGGTTTTTTTTTGATTTTGATTTTGTTTCGAAATAGGAAAAAAACGGCTAAAAAAAACTTTATTGCATAAAAAAATGCAAAATGCAATCCGATTTCTGTTCTGAATAACGATAATACAATATTTCTTTTTCTTTATGTTCCTGTCTGATGAATATGCCGATGAATCCTTACTTGATTGTTAACCTGTTGTTTCAATTTCAAAACCAAAAAATTTGATTTCATCTTATCTTTTTCTATATAAAGACACAATGAGATCTTTATTGTCATCCATATTAAGTTTCTTTACAATAGACTTGGGTCTTTCCAACATATCATTGAACTCTTTTTTTAAATGAAAACAACCATTTAACTATCGTTTTATGGTGTTTTTTTTTTTATTTTTATTTTTTTGCTATTATATATTACCTTATAAACTAAAAAAAAAATTCTTTTTTTTAGCCCCCAAAAAAATAAATAAATAAAATGATATGTCCGCCCCAATTTATGATCCCTGAAAAAAAATTATCTTTTGAATTTTATTTTGTAATACGAAACTCAATAAAAAAAATTTTTTTTTTGATTGTCTAATTAAATATAATAAATTTGATTTATAGTTAAAGTTTTTTTTTTTAAAAAAAAAAAACAATAATAAGTATAATTTTTTTTTTGTAATCACAAAATTCTATAAACATAATTACTAATATTCCTTTTTGGCGTTAGATAATGTAAAGTAATATAAATATCAATTTTTTTTGACATTATTTGTCTTAATTGTTTGATCTTCGGATTACTCTTTTGTTTTTTTATATATATAATACAATAATATCATTTGATAATTTAAATAATTCAACGTTTAGGTAATGTTACTTTAAATTGTTCATCTATAAACCAACTTTAAGTTTTTCATTATTAACTTTATTATATGATGCAAAATAACGAAAAAAAAAAAGAAATCGAAAATTTTTTATGATTTAATTACAAGGTTCGTATAACCTTTGCCAAGAGCTTAATATTATGAATCTCTGAAATTAAATTGAGGCTTTGGTAAATTATCTAATATATCATTAATTTCTGCCATGATTTCAGGTGTCAATTTGGACTTTAAATAAACAGCTCGAAGATTTTCTTTCATTTGTTCGGGTTTGGAAGCACCAGTAATTACCGTGTTAACTCGTGGGTGTTTCATACACCTTTGAAAATGAAAACGTTTTGGTTATCTTTATGATCTAAGATTGAGATAGTCTTTTAAAACTTACCAGGCAAGAGCTAATTGTGCCGGAGTAGCTCCGATTTTATCAGCGATCGGCTATGTCGCGAAAACAAAAAAAAATTATTCAACAGAATATAACGAATCGCACCGAAAGTTTACAAGATACATGTGCATATATACCATTAATTTCTTGACTTTGTCAATTTTTGCTTTCCCTTCCTCGCTTAATAAACCATCTCTTAACCGCTTCATGACGGCATTATCTGTTAAACCCATTCGAGAATCTTCCGCTATTTGATCATTATGCTTTCCCGTTAACAATCCACTAGCAAGAGGTGACCAAGTAGCCGCACCCATTTTATGTTCATTAAACAAATGTTCATATTCCGATTCGACACGATCACGGTGAAACATGTTGTATTGAACCTAGGCAAGATGCGAATTAAAATATTTGACCATAGGTTAACCTTTATCAATTTTTCCTTTGAATCTTGTTTTTCTCAAAACTTACTTGTTCCGCCTATTTTAAAATTTTAAACCATTTAATTGAAAACATTCATAATCGAAGAAAAGATGATTTTTAAAAATTGAATGAATGGATTTTATAATTACCAACGGAGGGATGAGATTCAATTTATTAGCTACACCGTTAGCTTCCATGATCTGTTGAGCCGACCATTCTGAAGTACCCCAATAGAAAGCTTTTCCTTTCTCGATTACATGGTTGAATGCCCGAACTATTTCTGTCATCGGCTTTAATTTGAAGAAAGAAAAAATTTAAGAAACAGAATGATCAAATAAGATGGTAGTAGTCATATAATTTCAATATACTCACAGTATCAGGATCTTGTCTATGGGCATAGACTATATCAACATATTCTAACCCCAGTCTCTTTAAAGATGCATCCAATCCCTCGATGATGTGCTTTCTTGATAAACCTCGATCATTGGGTCCTTTACCGCCCCAAAAGATTTTCGTGGAAATCACGAAATCTGAACGTTTCCATTGTAATTTCTTAATCGCATTACCCATATCTATTTCTGATTTCCCTCCGGCATATACTTCAGCGGTATCGAAATAATTGATACCATGATCAAAAGCAATTTGCATAATTTTAAGTGTCACCTCTTTTTTTCATTGGATGAGACGGGATGTGAATATGGTGTAAAATATTGTGTTAAAATTGCGGGATCATTGATTATTTATTTACCTGGTGGAACTTGCTGTCCAAACGTGACCCACCCACCAAGAGAAAGGATAGAAACCTTGAGCCCGCTATGGCCAAGATATCGATATTCCATTTTTTCACTGGTTTTATGTTCCAAAATTGGTTCCCACTCCAGTTTGAATGCTTTTTATAGGTTGAACGTGTTTAAAAAAAAAATTCGTTTTAAATTTTATCGCGTCCCACTCAAAATGTATAAGATAAGCCTTATATTCAATCTATTTTATATATATAACTCGTGCTTTAAACCATTTAGGGTGAAGGGATTATTATTATTTTTTTTTTAAAAAAAAAAAAGAAACCAGGAAAAATAATAAAAGCAGAAAAAAGACAACAAAAAAAAAAAGTTCGGATAATAAAATAATGAGTTATTGTTTTTTTTTTTTTTGGTTCGTAAATATGGTCAATTCTCATCATGTTTATATACTTTTTGTATCTCTATAATTTCTATTATTTGACTAAAAAACCATCCTTTTTTTTTCGCTAGTGTAAAATACATTATTATTAAAAGTTTATCAAGATGTAGTACTGATGATTTATGTAAGAGCCAATCAATTTCCTAATACTATCAATAAACATAGATTGATAAATAATTTTCCGCCAAGCGCATAAAAATGATGCATAACGAAAACGGGAAAAAAGTTTAACCATGGTTGAAGCCAAAGTAGGTCATTCAATGAACCACAGGGATAAATTCGGAATACGCTCTAGAAAAGGTGAAATGAATAAATCAAATCCAAAAATGCCCAAATTTTTATACCTTAAGATTTAATTTGCTAAATAAAGTAAGGATTGTTTAAAACTGTGCATTGTGTTAAATGTTTACCCATTTATATTAGCCGAAGTACAAAATACGAAGAAATTCGATTAAGGCGTTGGACTTGAGTAATACAATTAAACAAGTTATTGGCTTGATTATAATGCTCCTGCCAAATTTCCTTTTTCAAAGTTCGCTCCCAATCGTCAATCATTTGGTTCATAAGAATTTGTTCTACAAAAAATCCCAATATTACTATATAATTTATAATTACAATTTGTTTTTGTAAATCTTTTTGTCAATCTATTCATCATGTTTTGCGTTAAAAAATGGTAAAAGAAAACGTCTAATATAAAAAAAAATTACGCGTTGTTTAAAAGTTTTCTTTTTTTTTTTTAATTCGTTTTAATTCGTTATTAAAAAATCTCAATTATTGTGAATAAAAATGGTTGTATTTGCGACATGGATCAAAAATTTTATAAATTATTTTAAAATAATTACCATGGTTTCCATATTCTAAGCATTGAACCGTTCAGCAACACTATAATTCAACGAATTTGCTGCAACTTTAAATTTATCATAAATTCTTGACTTAATTTCTTCTGTAACATCAAGATCTTCGTTAACAAAATTAATTTTTTGATCCTGATGCTGGACCCGTTGTTGTAATAGTAACAGTAGATACTGGATATGACTCTTTTTTTTTCAGTTTATTTTTAAAGGCGTGTCATAATAACCATTAAAGGTAAGACAAGAGAAAAATATTTAGCACGGCGTGTGAAAATTTTGGCATAACATGTGAAAATAAGTACTTATTATTATTAAAATATGTTTTTATACACGCGACTTGATTGATAGAAATTTCAAAAAAAAATGAACAGGAAATAGATCGATTGAAACATATCAACTCAGTCAAAGAGACATTGCACCACGTTGCATTAAACCAATCGGGGACATATTGAACGAACTCCCCGAGCCCGAGTATAATGCCTTCATGAAAAGTTTAGTAGAGTTTCATAAGTCCCATGGGTAAAAATTGGAAACTATGTTATTTTCCTTCTGGAAACGAGTTTCCAATGTGCGGTCGATTTCAAGTTGCACACATTTTCCTTGAATTTTTTGATAAAAATACTTTTTTATCAGTACTACCTTACAAAAAGAGCCTGTTTTGGGTTCCAAAAAATTAATCTCTATAATATATAACTTTCCTTTTATATGGGTAAAATCATCTTTCCGGTTCTTCGAGATTGTTAAATAAATTTTTATGAATAATATTTAAAAGTCGCGAAATTATATATCCTATTCTATTCTTTATATAAAAAAATTTTAATTGGTTATTTATTAATAAAATAATTATAATTTTGTTATTATTGTAAAAAATATAAATAGTTTAACCTTTATAAGTATTTTAGTAATTTTATACTAATTTTATTATTTTATTAAAAAAACAAAAAATATTAATTGATTAGAATCTTATAATATTTAATATAACTTTAAGGTTACTTAAAGCAAATTTATATTAAAAATTTTATAACATTAGCTATATTAATAATAATTTAATATTATAAAATTTATTATAGAGAAAAAATTTTTATTATTCCAATTTTAACTTATTAAGAAATTTTATATCAATTTTTATACAAACATAAATTTTTAAAGAAATTATATAAATTTATAAATTTGCAATTATTATTTGTAATATCATAGAATTTTTTTTACAATTTATAATATTTTATAATATTTTATTTTTTAAACCTATTAATTTTATATATTTTATATTTATTTACTAATAAATAATGTATAAGATCTTTATAATAGCAAGAAAGAAAACTATCTATTATTAATCACAATAATCATAATAATCATAAGATTTTATTTTTTGGTAGTTTCCTCACTTTTATTGTAAAAATTCTTATATATAGAATGTTATTAATCTTTTTCTTAAATAGTAATAATATTTAGTCATGATTTTCAATTATAGAAATTAACAATTTTTTTAATATTTAGTAAAATATTATTTATAAAAATTTATTATAAGTCTATTATTTTTATAAATATTTACAAAGCATTCAACTAAAAAATTTATTTTAAAATATAAAAATGTAATAAATGTAAATTTTATATTTATAAATTAAATAAATTTTAAATTTTTTTTTGATTTTATTTAAAAAAACATTATAAATTTTATTATATTTTTAGTTATTAATAATTAATTACTTTAATTTTATTATAATAAGTATTAATCAAATTTATTTTTAACATAATTTATTTACATATATTAATATAAATTTGAATTTATCTTATTATAATATATAATATTTTTTTTTTTATATAATAGATTAATAAATTAAAATTAGTTAAGGTTAAAAGTAAATAAATTGAAATTAAAAGGCTGCTTTTAAATTCAAATAAACTTTATTTTCAAATATTAACTCTACAGATCACTACTAAAAAAAGCTGTAATTTTTTAAGCTGTAGCCTAATGATCAAAATGACCAAAACCTTAGAAATAATGATAATGTTATTAACTAAGTTTATATATAATACATAACATCTATACTCATCAAAAATTTAACTTAAATTCAAATTGTATCTAGTTTTTTAATTTTAATATTATTGAAAAAATAAACTGATTTTTTTATAGTTTAAATTATAATCTTTTAAAAAATCAGTTTACATTTTGAATTGAATAATTATTTAAAAAGTTATTGGGATTTAAAAGTTAGATATTTTATTAATAATTAGCTGATTTTAGACTGACTTTACATAGGTATTTACAGAGATATATTTATAATCTGATCAATAAAAATGCGTGAAATTATTTTGTGATTATATATCACGTGATAATTTCTTTTAATTGCTATGTTACATAATTTAGCAAGTCTGAAAATTTCATGTTCATATACTTGTAATAGTTAAATTATACTTTTTTATAATTAATGAATGTTAGTATGATATATTTAATCACAGATAAATATAATTAAACTATATTTTTTACAATCAATCAATGTTAATACATTATATTTAATCAATAAACTATTGTAAATATTGGTAATAAAGAAACCTCCAGAAATTCTCTTTCTAAATTTATAGAATTTTTGCCAATATTAATAAAAACAATCAAAATTTGTGATTGCAAATTTTATTTATATTTTACATTGTATATAAAAATATGATAATAATCATATTTTAAATCATTAAATCAATAAAATTAATTATGCACTTTACATTAAACCATTATCTTGAATGTGTTTCAATTTATTTTTTATTGTATTAAAAATACTAAAAAAAAAAATCAAAAAATTAAAAACACACTGTAAATGGTAAATTTGATACTAAAAAAGCATAATATTCAAGTATAAATGATCAAAATTAACCAAATCCTCAATTCTAATTAGCAACAATTGTAAAAACATTGCTGATTGTTATGGTATAATTATTGCGATTATTGTTTCTCATAATAATAGTAGTTTATTTGGTCCTTTTAACAACAGTGGTTCATTTAATGCTTCTGATGATGATAATTCATTTGGTTCTTATGGTGATAGTGGTTTATTTAGTCCTTATGGTAACAGTAATTCATTTAGTGCTTCTGATAATAGTATTTATCTGATAACTCTGATTATGATAAGACTGCAGATGAAAGTAGTATTAGTATAGATTTGGAATTATTTGGTAAGGAAGAATTTGATGAAGAATGAAGTGATGATGAAGATAGTAGTTAGGATGATAACGATAAAGATGATATTACTGAAAAAATATAAAACCTAAGAAATAAAGAACTTAAACTAGTATAAAATGAAGAAAGTAAATTAGAAAAAATAAAACATAGTCGATATACAGAGGGTAGCCAAAAGTCTCTGAACACTATGTTTGACATCGTATATCTCAAGATGCACCGATCAGATTTAGTTCAAAATTTCATATATTATTTATACAATCTCAATCTATAATATATTAAAATTTCATTTAATTTGAATCGGTAGAAGCTGAGATATGTATGTAAACGTA